TATATATATATATATATATATATATATATATATATATATATATATATATATATATATATATATATATATATATATATACATACATATATATATATATATATATATATATATATATATATATATATATATATATATATATATATATATATATATATATATATATATATATATATATATATAATATATTCATATAAGCACATGTATGTATATATACATACATATATATGTATGTTTATTTATGTACATATATATGTATGTATATATAGAGTAAAAAAAAAGGTTAAGTATGCGTTACAAACCAACCTTTGTACTTTAAGGTTGTTCTTTAGCTCAAAGAAATACAAAAGTAAGAGAAAACAGTTACAAAAAAAATTATAATCGAACATAAAAAAAAGATTCATTTTATGTCTGATTAGAATTCGTCAAACTTTTAAAAATATATGCTACACAGATTTTTAACACAAGTTTAAAACAAACTATAAAAAAGATTCAAAAGATTTTTTATTTAAAACTACTTTTAACAAACCTTTGCATCACATGTATTTGTATTTGTCTTAATGGTTTTACCTCCAATTTTAGAAAGTTTGTTAACCTAAAGGTTTAAGAAAATAATTACACCACATTATTTTTATAGTACATTTATAAAAAGTTACAAGTAGATTAACTTAGGCTAAGTTATTAATAAATACTTAATCAAAAAACAATAAAAAAAACTGCAAAAAGTCATGGTTTGAAACAACCTATCAGTTCTGACCTCACCCAAGAATCATTTAAACTGTTATCCATAAGAATTTCAGAACTATTTGTCATGATATTACTTTAATTACTGGAAAGAGTTTTTACTAACATGACTTTCCAACAATAAAGATATATCAGAAAGACAAAAGAACCAAACATTAATTAATTTCTAAAAGTGTTGAAACACAAGAACAAAAAATTTATAAAATAAAACATTATTCATAAATTAAATAAAATGTATTAATTTAGCAACCAAAGAAATGTGTAAATCACTGAAGCATAGAAAAAAATGTTCAGAATCTTTTTTTCCTAAATCAACTTGCAGACAGACAATTAATACCTTGAGCTACAGTATGTGGAGTATGCATAAAAAATGTTTTCTGTTTCTTTTTTTGCGTTACAGGAGTAGGTATTTGCTTACTATTCTGTTTGTTATTATGTTTTCTCTTGCATAAGCATGGTAGTGGCTCCTATAATAATTAATATCAAAATATAACTAATAATACTTGAATTAAGTATCTTTTGAAATAGTTACTGTTTTCTGAACCTGATTCTTTCTGAGTATCACTTATAGAGGCAAATTCAAATTTATTACATAACTCGTGATCTAAGAATATTCATTCAATTTAAAAATGTTTTAAATAAAGAATATATAATAAAGAATATATCTAAACACTGAAAACAACATATACAGAATGAAAGCATGTTAAAAAAACAAGGAAAAAAAGTAATGACTTAAGGTTTATATTTTAAAAAAATTACATTATCTCCATGACATTACATTTTGAGCAGCTTAAATCTGTATTAGTTAGATGCGGTTTATGCATTTCATTGAAACAATTATTACATTTAAAGATGACGAGCAGCACAAAAAATTATCAATCGAATTTTCTCTCTTTATTTTTCTGTATTTTCTATCCAAACAGCTCGAATGAACATTTTGCATGCCCTACTATACTTTTTCAACTGTAAAAGTATAGTAGAAACTATAATAGAAAAAATACTTATATATTAAAAATTTGTTCATGTAAAATAGCTAACAGAAAAATACAACTATAAACTGTACGTTATGATACATTATACAGTTGCTAAAATTTGCTAAATTTTTATGTTGATCTTTCTACCAATATTATGGACTAAAGAAGCATTCACAAATTCTTTTTTATACAACTTTACAAGAAAAATCTTTAAAAATTTAATAAAAATTTTTTAATATAAAAAATATTTAAACTCTTTAAATCACATGGATTGGTAAAAAAGCTTGATAAATCATTATTTTGTAAAACATCATTCATTATATATATTTATATTATGTATGTATATATACATATATAGTGTATGTATATATTATATATGCATATTATATATATGTATATATATATATATATATATATATACATATATATAATATGCATATATAATATATATATATATATATATATATATATATATATATATATATATATATATATATATATATATATATATATATATATATATATATATATATATATATACATATATATAGTATGCATATATAATATAATAAACATATATAATATATATATATATATATATATATATATATATATATGTATATATATATATACATATATACATATATATAGTATGCATATATAATATATACATATACTATATATGTATATACACATATATAATATAAGTATATATAATATAAGTATATATACTATATATATATATATATATATATATATATATATATATATATATATATATACATATATATAGTATGCATATATAATATATACATATACTATATATGTATGTACACATATATAATATAAGTATATATAATATAAGTATATATACTATATATATATATATATATATATATATATATATATATATATATATATATATATATATATATATATATATATATATATATTATATAAATAAGAAAAACATATATAACATATATTTTATATTTATATAATATATCAAGTAGTCTCTACTTGTAATCCACACTCATGAAATAATACGGTCATAAAGAAATATCCATTTAATATTTACCTAACTAACTGCATTACAAGTTAAGCCATGTATTATTGTTAAATTGTCAAATTCAAAACCTTATAAAAAAGCAACAGATGACCTAATTTATTAGCATGTGTGACTTTACTTGTTTTTATTGGGCTAATAAGTAACTTGTTAAGTCTTTACTTGTTATTTGTTATGTTGATAAAAAAATTTTAAGTCACGCATGCGTATTTTAGTTATCATAATGCAATTACGAACGATCGAACTCGTAATATAGACGTTAAATTAACGTGGAATCAACGTCGATTTTATTTGATAGTTTTAAACAAATTTTTCAACGTTGATACAACGTTGATTTTTGGTTATACGACGTCGCGACTAAAAATCAACTGTAAATCAACGTCGAAATAACGTCGTGTGCCCACTGGGTCAAAACAACAGCTGTAAATTTTGTTTTTACAAATTTTGGTGATTTAGGACAATCTGTAACTAAATGTTTCTTAGCCCGAGTGGAGTTTAGTGTGAAAAACTTTGCATTGCAGTATGTGCTGTTTTTCCATCATTGCATATTTATTTTTTTCAAATGTCCATTTCAGACTTGGTCAAATTCGCGAGGCATATTTTAATTGATACTAAAAACATTCATAATTTAAAAAGAAAGTACAATTTAAAAGATACAATTAATCAATTTAGTTTACATAGAATCATTCTATGTAAACTTTCTAAGTAACTATCTCTGTAAAATTCTAAGAATGCAAAGCTAAACTATAGTTTATATGCTATATTATTATACCAACTTGTTTTTTATAGTAATTATAATTACTATATAATTGTACATATAAATTATAACACCTATAAATAAACGCACGCACACACATAAGTGTGTATAATCATTGTATAAATTAATGGCGTTGTTGTTATGACATAACACACACACACACACACTTATGTGTGTGTTATGTCATAAAAACGACGCCATTAATTTATACAATGATTATATAAATTATTAGTGTCGTCGTTATTTTTACCCTGATTATCATGATAATAACCTATTAATAATAATTACTAAACGAGGAAAATAAAACATAATTGATATCATTATAACTATAGTTATAATAGTATCATTTACGTTTAGTATTAAACAAAAATGATATAATTATATGTTTTGTTAAAAACAATTAGTAATAGTATTACTACTGTACAAGTGAATATTTGGTATTAAAAACCTTTATTTCAAAAGTTTATTGACTTTATATTAATAATATATTCCTTGTTAAAAAAAGTAAGTAATGGTAAACAACACAAAAATAAAAAAATTCAAAATTTTCGGGAAATTTTCATTACTAGCTCATTCACTTTTTCCTTTTTTGTTATTAATATATATTATTAATAGTTATTGCTCTCCTTTTTATTATGATTATTTTCACTATCACTATCTATATTATTACTTATTGTTTGTTTTTTTTTTTTGCTTTATTTGTTTATTTTATTAAGGTGTCACTCAAATGACTAGTTTTTAACTATACGAGTGACACCGAACCTAATTTCGCAAATTATGAATAAATCTGTAATTTTTTTTAATTTTATGGTTAAATAAATGGATAAAAAAAAAAAGATTTTGTTAGTGACAGGCGTGAGTTAGCATTCAATCGCAAGAGTCATTCTATTTAAATGTATTTAAAAATTATATAAGTTAGTGCGTTTTAAGCTATTTTTCTTGACCTAAATCAGTATATATTTTTTTAATGTAAACTTCCCAACCAGTTTCAAATTAATATTTAGGCCTTTTAGAGATCATAGAAGAAAAAAAGGTGTTTTATTTCAGTGTTTAAGGTTGCCGCTTTTTGGTTAAAAAAGTTGGGGTTTCGGGGCACAAATTGTAAATGATTGATCCTAAAAATGGACAAAGAAAATAACAATTTCTGTTGATGCGCAGCTCAAAGTATTTTGTTGATGCTTAACTAAAAGTGTTCTGTTGATGCGCATCTAAAAACTGTGAAAAATGCGCATCACAAACTTAAAAAAAACTAACAATAACCTTAAATCATGATTGATTCAGATAACCCACAGCGTGACCTTTTCAATTCCTAAGATAAATTCCTCATCTTTTTGAAAAAATGATTTGCTACAATATTTCTTTTCAAAATTCATAGTTGACCTATATAAAAAATATTAAAATCGAATATTTAAAATATGTATAAATGCTTTTTAAAATGTTTAAAGCTATGAATCTGTTTTAGTGTTATGGACCGTGCTTCCAAGTCGGAATTATGGTTCGAAATGTCACTTGTCCCGCTTCAAACACATGCAGCGAAATAGAAAAACCTTCAACAACAACTACTTGCATTAATTCTTGTGCGCGGTTTTAATGAAATAATCTGTGTGTGTATATAAAATGTTTTTTTGTTGTTGTTATTTTTGTTTTTATTGTTTATGACGCTTTATATACATATCTCATTTCATAATCTAATTGGAATACCCTAAAATATTTTTCTATAAAATGTAAAAAATCTATAAAATGTAAAAAAAATTATAAAAATATACATTATAAAACCTATTGTATAAAAAAAACTATTTTGAAAGCTTTGAGCTTCTCGGGGGCTTTGGCCTTTTGGTTTTTATAATTTTTGGACGAGAAAATTTATTCGTGCTAGTTGAATAAGAATTCACAGAACTCAAAGTTGTATTTATTTTCAGTTCGCTTAAAGTGCTTTCGTTTAGTTCTATGCGAGAAGTTTCTTTATTGCAGCTTTTAAGCCATGATGCTTTTGTTAAACTTTCATGAGTGATTTGCGTGTTATCAGATATTTCGCTACAATTGCATGATTTTTTTGCTTTTTGTTTTTCTGAGAGCTCTTTCCATGATGTAGTAGATGAAGATGAAGAACTACTGCAAGAATTGTCATTGCTAGATTTATACGTTTTTAAAGATTTTGTTTCATTGTTGTTCATGGAGTCAAGTGTAATCTCCAAATCAGTATTTCTGCTTTTTAATTTTAAAGTGCTAGGCCTTGAATAATAAGTAGTATCTAACGTTATTTCGCTGTTTTTGTTTTTGCTTAGTTCGGATAGGTTGTTACTTGATTTTGATAAGTTGCTGTCAGTTTTTTCAAGAGCAGTTTCATTTTCACTTTGTGTTAAGTTTGACTCATTTAACACGCCGTTTGCTGTAGGTTTTATCACTCTGAACAAGCTTTCGCAATGTTTTTCAGAATATCTCAGCGCATGAAGTTTTGCTTTTGACTCGAGACCTGTTTTTGATCTCTGTATATTTTGCAAATATAAAGTATTGTTTGAATGTCTAGATTGCCGTTTGTCGTCTATCTTTTTTTTCGCTATTAAACTTGATTCTTTATTAGTTTTTTTTACTGGAATTTTGGTCTTTATTGTTTCGCGGTCATTTTCAGTGTCAACGCTTTTTTTTTCGATCGAATTATTAGTCATAAAACATCCTTGATTTTTATCACATTTTAAGGTGTCATCTTTATGTGGTTCTTTTTTACTTTTATTAGTAATATATTGCATTATTTCATCATGAGTTAAGTTAAAATGATCATGGTCTTTGTTCAACTTCTCAGCAATTATTTCATCGATAGCGGTTGTTTCGATGCTGTCCTCTGATAAGTCACCTTCACAATATTCGTCAGTTGGAACCAAAATTTTTCTATAAAATTGAGACTCTTTTAATCTTTGGACACGTTGTGGATCCATTCTTGAAACAGATGTTAAAATTGAATCTACCTCACCGTATGACAAATTATTGGAGGAATGCATCGGTGATTGTTTGCTAGCATCATTTCTTTCACTTCGCTCTATCCAACGATTAAGAAACAGTTCTTTAAGTCGAGAGGATGTGTTTTTTAGGTCGTTTACGTCGTTTTCCTTCGGTCTGTTTAATTTTTTTTGCTGACAATGTTGGTTTGAACCAGTGGTTATGTTTTTTGTATTATCATTATTCATAAAATTATCGTGAATAGAAACATCTTCGGTGAGGTTTTCTTTGGAACAATTTTCGTTATTAGGAACTTTGGTTTTAGGAATATTGTTTAGATAAGGAACCTTGTTGTTGGGAATATTGTTTGGATCATTCGAACTAAAATTCAGATTCTGTATCATAATTGTTTTATTTTTATCTGTACAAAACGTTGTTGAAGCGTTTCCGAATAATTTGTAGGAATCTTTAACTTCTTTAGCAATCTCGTTATTTTCTTGCTGAAATATGGGATTAAATTGGGGATGATCTGCTGATGGCATTGCAAACTTATACTTTGCCATCTTTTTTTGTTCAACGGCTAGTCTCTGTTTTAGTAAAACAGATTCTGGATCATCTTTTTTATTTTTTTTGCAACATCTACGATTTGATATAAAAAAGATACCGACTGCCATTAAACAAAATGCCGAAAATACCGCCATAACTAATGAGTAAAGCAACGATGGGGATACTGTGTCAGCTAAAAGTATTCATAAAAAAAAACGCCAAAATGATTACAATATAGTTATACATTTTTATCAATATAAGAAATTTTTAAGAGTAATTAAAATTTAAAATTTGATAAATTCCTCATCTTTTTGAAAAAATGATTCACTACAATAAAATTTACGTACAAAAATTAAATTAATATATGATCCATAAATAACTTAGCAAATTTTAATATATAATACTTTTGCAAATTTAATAAACTTACACGCATCGAAAGTATTCAACTGCGTATCTTTATCTTCCATTTTGTTTATCCCCAGTTAAGTAACCAAAACTTTTGGACAATCGCATTTTTCTGAGTACAATAAATGTTGTACATATTTATAAATCTTTGTGTCTGTTTTTATTCTGTTGACGAAAAGAAAATAGTTATAATCTAAAAACAATATAAATAAATGATATAATACAAAATATGATATAAATTCTTAATAAATTATTGTTAATTAAATTAAATTTTATAAAAAATTTACATTTAATGAAGACACTAGTTTATTAATAGTAACTTTGAGCTTAAGCAAATACAATTATACAATTGTATAAACTAATAAAAAGTCTATTTTTGAAAAAGATTAAAAAATATTGAATAAGTTAACCTTCTAATAAATTAATCGTTTGTTTGGCGTTTAATCGTTGATTTTGTTAATTTGCTAAAACGATAAATATGAAACGCACACTAACAAACTTAATAATATTTCGATTCAACTGTGTTAATGAGATGAATTAACAACTGGTAATCTTAATTGACATGAATCGCTCACAGGCTTCTACCTGAATCGGCTATTGTACTTGAATCGTTGATTGATTTTATTTTAGTTTCCCAACTGAGTTTTAATGATTATTTATCAGCATAAAATCATTTAACAAACTAGATGTTCGAATTTTTTTTTTTTTTCAAAAAAGTAGTAGTTTTTTTTTTAAATATTAAAATACTTTTGTTTCAAATAAAAATTTAATTTACAAAAATATAAATGTTTATAAAAACGCAATTCGCGTCTTTTACGCTTGGTTGAGCAAGTCTTAAACAATACTTTTTTTAATATTATAAATTATTATATTATAAAAAGATAATATTATAAAAAGATATTAAAAATATAATATTAAAAGATATTAAAAAAATAATATTATAGAAAGGTATTAAAAAAATAATATTATAGAAAGATATTAAATAATAATATTATAGAAAGATATTAAAAAAATAGTATTATAAAAAGATATTAAAAATTTTCGTAGGTAAAGTACAAAAGCAGTTTTATTGAATTTAATTTGCTTATGCAATAGGTAAAAAATAGAGTGTTAAAAGTAAGCCATCTTATAATTGTTAATAACGTATATTTAATAAAAAATTTTCTCCTTTTATATTTAACGTATATTTAATAAAAAAAACTCCTTTTATAAAAAATAAAAATTTATTTAAACATTCTGTAAACTTGTGTTTGATATAATAAGTTTGTGTTTGATATAGTAAACTTGCGTTAGAAATAATAAACTTGCCTTTGATAAAATAAACTTTTGTTTCATAAATCTTAACTTTATTTATTTTTTACTTTTAGTTTCCTTTCTAAAAAGACCCTTTAAAAAGAGTTTTTTTTATTGCATAATAAATCCTAAAAAATTTAGAAGAGAAAAATTTACTCACACCGCTCTGATTCTTTCCAGATCACATTGAGCTAACCTTTAGTAAAAACAGAGAAATAACGGTTTAAAAACCTTGTTTTTTGCTTTATAATATCCAACCAGAATGCCCGTGAGACCACTTTTTTATAATCTTTTTGTTCATTTTCAAACTTCACAGTGCCTTGGAACATTGTGTATCAAATTGTAAACAAAAATACTTTAATTTTAAGTTTACTAATGACATCTAAAAGTAGAATAGCCGGTTTAAAAAACCGGCGGATGTAAAGCTCCCGGAAGATATTAGGCCTCTGTTAGCGTCTCTGTAAAGTCTCTATGATTTAAAAGCTGTACAGCTTTTTAAAACTTATTTTTATGTTTAAAAGAAATAAAATTTTAGATTGTAAAATTTTAGACAGCTTTTTAAAACTTATTTTTATGTTTAAAAGAAATAAAATTTTAGATTGTAAAATTTTAGACAGCTTTTTAAAACTTATTTTTATGTTTAAAAGAAATAAAATTTTAGATTGTTATAAAAAATAAACTAAATATTACTTAACCAAATGGAAATATATACATATTCTAGTCATTAAAATAAATACTTGGTATCAAAAATGTATATTTTGATATATTGCACGAGGCTAATCTCCTTGTTGACCAGTAATAAATAGTAGGAAGATAGAAGACAGTAGCGCGTCAATTTAAGTGCTCAAAATTCAATTTTAATTAAATTAAAAGCTAAGTTAAATTCATTCAAATTTTGATTTTCGAATTTGGGAAAACAAATTCGAAGTGGTCAAAATTTATCAAATTTGAATTTGAGTCAAATTCTTAACTTCAAATTCAAATTTTGATCTTTTTAAATTTTGTATTATTCGATATTATTCGATAAACCAAATTTTTTTAGCTAAAAATGTCATTTCAACTTTATAAGAACTATTTTTCTAAATTAAAATTGAAAGTTATAGACGTGGCGCAGTGGTGAGAGCGTTATATTCGTAACCCAACGGTCAGGGTCGCCGAGAGGAGGAGGGCAAAGGGTCCATACGTGCCCCGGGCGCCAAGATTATAAGGGCGCCAAAAAATGATAATTTTTTTTTGTTTAAGTGTCTATACAATTTTTAACTTTTAATATAAATGTTTTGTGATTTTATATGATGTTTTTATAGTATAATTTCATGAAATAAATAAAAAGTTTATTTAATTTACAACGTCGGTTTTCATGTTTACGGATTATTATGTTTAGTGCAGTGAGTTGGAGAAAGCATATTGATCATATAAGCACCAAAGTCTCTAAAAATATTGGCATTTTATACAAAGCTCGAAATTATCTAAACAAAAAAAACTTAACCCAGCTCTATTATTCATTTATACATAATTATATAAATTATGCAATCATAGCCTGGGGAAGTACGGAGAAAAGTAAATTACAACATCTTTATCGCCGTCAGAAACATGCAATCCGTGTAGTTAATTATGCGGATCGCTTTTCACGTTCGAAATATTTTTTTGATTATATGAATGTACTAGATGTTTATAAACTTAACATATTTAATGTTTTATGTTTTACTTTTATGTGGAAAAACGATTTATCTTTATTTGTTTTCAATGACCTTTTTTCTTTAAAACCAATAAATAAACACACATTAAGAAGTAATAGTTTTCTAAATGAACCATTTTGTAAAACGAAGTTCAATCAATTCTGTATTGCATATCGTGCACCCCATCTTTGGAATAAAATAGTATTACCAAATTTTGACCCTTCTACTACTCTTCCTGTTTTTAAAACTAAATTAAAAAACTTCATTCTCTGTATGGACAACATTCTAAAATTCTACTAAAAATTTATGTAAAATATTAGCTTATTATATAATTAAAGCATATTGAGTATTAAAATGTTAGTATATTGTATATTTGCATTATGTTATATTGTATTAGTATATTGCATATTTGCATTATGTTAAATCTTTGCATTATGTCTTTTTTAAGGTTCCGGTGATAAGATCCTTCTGATCTTCTTTCGGAAACCTAGTCTTATATTGTTAGTACGCTGAATTGTATATACATATATATATATATATATATACTCATTTTTTTTTTTTTTTTTTCTTTTCTTTTCTTGTAGAAGTCTTAAATATTTTTATGTATCAGACTTATATTATTACATATCACGACTTATATTATTATATATGTATCAGACTTATATTATTATATATCACGACTTGTATTATTGTATCACGACTAACATTGTAAACTAAAAAAAAAAAAATAAAAAAAAAAATAAAAAAAAAAAAAGTTTGCTGTCAGATAGAACTTTTTTTGTATATATTCATATTATGAAAGTGACGGTATTACATTTCGGCATAAAATCTCACAAAAGTATTAACGTGCATATTTTAATGTCAATCTTACATTCATATTTTGAGCATTGAACAAGCAAGACGGTTTATAAAGCGAAAAAGTTATTACGTATTACATATTATTTTATTATTAAATATAAAATATTATTATTTTATTAATATATTAATTTACCTCAATATATTTATTATGGCAGTTACAATCGATCAAATAGAGAAAATGATGAAAAAAATGTTTAAGGAGTTTAAATAAAAAACTGAAAGCATAATTAAACAACAAGAAAAGAATGTGTTAAACATAAGTTGTAGCACAAAAACATTATACGAGCGATTAAATATTGTCGAATCAAATATTAAAGAATTGTAAACAGATCAAAACAATTAAAAAGAGGTTGATGATATTAAAGTGAGCCTTAATTTTCACGAACATCTAATAGATGAAAGAATTAAGTCTGTCATTAATTCACAAGAGAAGTGTAAAACAAAAAGCGCAATACAAAGTAACGACTCTGCATTTATCAAAATTAAAAGCAAGCTAAGAGAAAAGATCGTTCACGGCGGAACAATCTGAGAATTGACGGAGTCAAAGAAAACGAAGGGGAAAGCTGGGAAGACAGCGAATTAAAGATAAATAAAATTTTTGAATATGATTCAGGCCTTAAAGGAATTAAAAATGAAAGGGCACACAGAACTGGCTCAAAAAATTCAGGTAAACCAAGAACAATAATCATAAAACCTCTGGACTTTAAAGATAAAATCGATATTTTAAAAAAGACCACTAATCTTAAAGGCTAATCTTAAATAAAATATCTACATAAAAAAATATCTACATTAATGAAGATTTTTGCGCTGAGACAGTGCAAATTAGGAAGAGTCTTCGTGAACAGATGAAAATCGAACGAGCGGCAGGAAAGTTTGCAACCATCTCATACGATAAGCTGATCATGCGCGATTGAGCTTCAAAGAAAAGTAATAATTTAATATCCTAGTATTTTAATTTTTTAATATCTTGTTTTCGTGATTACGAAATTATTTTATTATTTTTTCATTTCAAAATGGATGACAATTCTTTATTTAATTTTAATACGAAGAATAGCTTAGATGACTATTTCAATCAAAAAAACTTTGACAGTGATTACTATTCAGTTCGTGAATCTACTCAATTTTTGGTAAAAAAAATATAATAATTTTTCAATTTTAAATCTAAACATTCGAAGTATTAATAAAAATTTTGATTATCTAAAATTATTATTGCATGATCTAAACCACGATTTTAAAATAATAGTCTCACGGAAACGTGGTTAAAAAGCAATGAAAAAAATTTTAATTATGAATTAAATAACTACGTATCAATTCACCAACTTCGTAAAACCCACGTTGGTTGTGGTATAAGTATCTTTTTATTCACAAATCTATTAACTTTATATTGTGTAATGACGTCAATGTTAATGATACGGATTGTGAGTCGTTATGCATCGAAATAACAAACGAAGCAACCAAAAATTCTATCAGTAATTCTATTTATAGAAAACCAGCTGGGAATTTTAAAATATCTAAATCTTATTTACAAAATTTTTTAAGCAACACCAACTTAACAAAGAAACACATGTACTTAACTGGTCACTATAATATAAACCTGTTAAATCATTCTTCAAATGTAAATTATTTTTTAAATACTCAAATTTAACTATTATAATTCCAACTATAAACAAATCAACCAGAATAACTAACACTTCATCAACATTACTTGATAATATATTTACTAATAATACTCATAATTGCCTCTTAAGGTGAGTTTCCACTCATCCGTTTTTTCACGGGAACGGGAAAAATAATCACGTGGGCATGCGTGTTATAAGTTTTAATTTGTCCAAAGTAAAACTGCGC